GGAGCTCACAATTGTCTTTGGGTCCTTATCTGGCTCCTTCGTACTACTTCAGCCATAAGGTCGGCCAATGGCTCAGTATGGGGGCATTGGGCCCGATAGTGCCCTGGTTCACCACACTGGAAACATTTGAGGTACCTGAGGATGGTTTCCTCCAGCCGGTTGCCATTGAAGACACCATTTGTCTCTGACATGGCCTTCTGCATGGCAACATGAGCCTCCACAACTTGGCCCACTGTCTTTTAAACCTCACAAAAGGACTGCTGAATCAGGGCTTGGGCTTGAACTAACTGGGACAGGCTCTACACTGTGCCATCCATTGAAGCTATGGACTATGCCTCGAGCACACCCTCCATGATTGGAATAGCTTAAGTGACACAATAGGAGGCCCAGGGCCGGGTTCCACCCTGAACCTCTACCTTCCTGGCCTTGGCCACCATCAGGGCTTCTTCTTCTCAGATGGTCTTCAACAGTTTTGAATATGTCACAGCACTATAGGAATAGCTGACCCTGAGCTTCTATGTACTTGTGTACTTAGCTCCGTGTACTTTCTGCTTTCACTCCAACCTGTCAGTTCTCAGTTTGCCCAAATCGTCAGTGGGCCCCGGTTGTAACACACGTGCCATCACTGTGCCAAACAAGTATATACTCTATTCTTCAAGCAATGGATGAATTCCTTTTTTCCATTCAATCAGTACCAACACATTGGGTACATCTGGATTACTTCTAATATTGAGGATACTCACTCTCTGGTTGGGAATGCAAGCCATCAGCACCTGCTCGACCTGCTCTTCATAAAAGTCATGCCCGGGAGGGCTCAGCACCACACACCACTCTGGTCTGTCATTTTACTCTTGGCACCACGCAGTGATCTGCAAGGCTTTCATGCTTCATTCTTGGGGTCCACAGATTCTCTGTACAAAGATATCCTGTATGAGCTCCCACATGTAGCACTACCCCTTTAGGAGTCGCTGAGTTATTTTCAGCCTGTATTGGGAGCGAGTATACAGCTTTGCAAGCGGGCAATTGCAGCAAGGAGGAGTGGACAGTGCTGGCAGGGGACTCCAGAAGAGGAGGTAAGGGATCACTGTATGCAAGTATGTAAGTATAATAAAAAATGGATAATATATGTGTAGCACTACCCCCTTAGGAGTCGCTGAATTTTTTTCAGGGCTCTGTCCACAGCAGAGGTACTCAGAGACCTGGCATTCCTGCCAGTTCCTTGCATGGCCGCAGAAATGCATGCTAGCGAAAATATATGAGCATTGGAGCGGGGACGCGAGCCAGGACACACATGCACACTGGCGCATAGTTACACACGCATAAGCTCAGTTTGGCATCAGATGGCCTTTATAAAGAAGCCCATCATTCCCTCAAATTGCTGGTTGATCTCTAGCTCCCCAGTACCTTTGTCTGTATTCCTTTGCTACTGTAATCTGCTGTTACTGATTTGCCTTGTTCCTGGACCTGTCTTCTCTGCCTGACTCCTGATAGGACCCTGGCTTGGCTAACGGATATTTGCACCTGCTCTCCTAATCTGACCCGGCTTGGCTAGAGGATATTCGCACCTGCTTTCCTGATCTGACCTGGCTTGGATAATAGATACTCTCATTTGCTCTCCTGTGTATGACCCTGGCTATCCTATTGACTACGTCTGCTCCAATCTCCACCTGGCATCTGACCTTGACTTTGAACTGACTACTCTGTGGTCCTCTGCTACCCTAAAGGCCTGAATACCTCTCACGGGCGCCACCTGTCTGCAGACACCATTCCAGTGCATCAGCTTTGCTCTTGGGTATACCTCTGACAAGTACTCCTACAGGTGACCCGTGCTACTTTGAGCTTGACTCCTGTCCCATATCCAGGGGAGTCAAGAACTTAGCTGCAAGGGAAGCCTTCTCTCCATTGGCCTCTAACACCAGGTACATGATAGTATCAACCAGCCATTATGTCTGAGGCCGATAGAGGTGCTTCCGCATTAGAGGCCCTGTGTCAACAGATGATAGCTCTTACACAAGCGGTTAAAAATCTGCAGGAAGGATACTTTCAGCTGGAAGGACGTCTCCACTCCCTTGCTACGTCTGCAGATTAGAATCCTCCTGCTTGCTCTACACCTATAGCTGCACCTGCCAGTTCGCCTCCTGCTTCTACACCTGCTGTGGTGCTACCACCTTCAGAGCCCAGGGTCCCCACTCCTGAAGGATTCTTAGGAGACCGATGTAAATTCAGGGCCTTTAAAAAAGCTTGTGAACTTTACTTTGCTCTGCAACCAAGGACTTTTTCACTTGAGGCTGTCAAAGTGGGGTTCATTATCTCTGTCTTGTGTGATGAACCTCAATCATGGGCACCTAGCCTACTGGAACAAAAGAACCCAGAACTTAACTGTGACCCCATTTTTCGAAGCCATGGTTGCCTTCTATGATGATCCCCAGAGGACCTCCACTTCCGAATCCACCCTTCAAGCTCTACAAGGCCGATGGCCTGTGGAGGATTACATTGTGGAATTCTGCAAATGGTCAGCTGATACGAGTTGGAACGACACAGCTTTAAAATACCAGTTCCGTCTAGGCCTGTCCGAATCCCTCAAGGATGAGTTAGCCAGGGTTGAAGTTCCCTCCTCCCTGGAGAATCTTATTCAGCTCTCTACCCAGCTGGATCGATGACTACGGGAAAGACGTTCTGAACGTACCCAGACTTTTCGACCCACGTGGGTTCTGCTGTAACTTCCAGGACCAGCGGCTCCTGCACCTGTTCCTCAGCCCACCAACACTTCTGAAGTAGAACCAATGTAAATTGGCCTTCTCTGACCTGCTCTAACACCTGAAGACAGGCTATGCAGATGACAAGGCAATCTATGCCTTTACTGTAGGGCCATGGGCCACTTCTTGTGCAACTGCCCAGTGCGACCAAGTAGTCCAGCCAGCCCCATCCTTCATACTTCCAGTTATCCGGAACTCTAACCACACATGTCATTCTTCCCATATCATTGCAGGTGGCTGGAAGGGAAGTCAAGCTGTGGGCAATCTTTGTCTCGGGAGCCTGTAGCTGTTTCTTGGACATCAACCTTGCCAAGGACTTATGTATTCCTTTTCATCCAAAAAAACAAAGACTTGATGTACTACTAGCTGATGGCAGTACTCCTAGCTCACGACCTATTACCCAGGAAACCATCCCCATCCTAGTAACAACGGACTCCGGCCACCAGGAGTTCATTCGTTTTGACGTCATCAGCTCGCCCATATTTCCAGCCATTCTAGGAATACCCTGGTTGCAAGCTCATAACCCACAAATTGACTGGCCCAAAAGAGAAATCACCTTTTCATCTAGCTACTGCCTTCAGCACTGTGGCGCCTCAAAACCCACCAATTTTCCTGTGTACCTCTCTGTTCAACCTACATCAAATGCCAGTCTATCTGTTCCCCCTAACTACCATGACTTTCTTCATGCATTCGACAAGAAAAAAAGCCGACACATTGACACCTCATCGGTCTTATGACTGCCCAAATGAACTGCTTCCAGGGGTAGAAATACCTTTCGGGCAGATTTTCCCATTGTCCAAACTTGATCTGGAAGTCCTCCGGCAATACATAAATGAGAACCTAGCCAAAGGATTTATCCGCCCCTCTTCTTCACCTGCCGGGGCAAGTATTTTCTTTGTTGAAAAAAAGATAAGTCTCTCAGACCTTGCGTTGATTACAGAGAACTCAACAGAATTAATAACGAATCGGTATCCACTTCCTCTTGTTCCCGAGTTATTTCAGAGGTTTCGGACAGCCCGAGTATTCACTAAATTGGACTTATGGGGGCCTACAATTTAGTCCGCATTAGAGAATGCGATGAGTGGAAAACTGCCTTCAGAACGCGCTTCGGACACTTCAAGTACCTTGTGATGCTGTTTGGACTATGCAATGGCCCTGCAACGTTTCAACACTTTGTAAATGATATCTTCAGGGAATACCTCGATCTTTTCTTGATAGTCTACTTGGATGATATTCTGATTTTCTCCGCCTCACTGGAACTCCACCGAAACCATGCTGGAAAAGTACTGACTACTCTGAGGATGCATGGCTTGTACGCAAAGGCGGAGAAGTGTGAGTTTGAGAAGCAGTCTATCCAGTTCTTGGGGTTCATAATCTCCACTCCATGAACCCTCAGAAAGTCTCTGCAACTTTGGATTGGCCTGCACCTTCTGATAGGAAAGGGGTCCAAAGATTTGTAGGCTTTGCCAACTTCTATCGGAAGTTTATCAAAGACTTTTCAACCATTATTGCCCCATTACTCAACTCACTCACCTGCATACACGTTTCCTCTGGAGCCAGGAAGCACAAATAGCATTTGAACAATTTCAAAGCTCAAATCACGAGGAAGGAGCCTGACCATGGCTTGGTGCGGGAGCTCAATGTGAGGGCTCCCGGCTCCCAAGCACCTCCAGTGTCCTGCCGAGATGGGGAGAGATGTGTGGGAAGCCCTGGAGAGACTAGCCAGGGAGAGGGGGGGGCTTGCCTGGTGGGGTGCGTGGATCGAGGACCTCCGGGAGTGGCGGACATCGCGGTGGGTCTTCCTGTGCTCTTGGCCCGGTGCTGTGCGTTCCCTGGAAGCTCAGTGGACGCCGGGCGATCAGGTGATCTGCTGCAAGGGAGCTCTGGGAGGTAGAGGAGCCGGCTGGTGTTTCTTGGAGCAAGGGAGACGCCGGCGCTTTTCCTCTTGCACACAGGACCATGGCAGATGGAGACACGCAGAAACGGGCTGGGTGCAATCCACTCATTGTGTGAGGGGAATGTCGAGTGCAATGTTCCCCAGAAGAGAGTACCTGGAGCCGCCTCCACCCCTCACTTGGAGTAAAAGAAGAGATATCCTACAGTGCAGGAAAGTCTCTCAGAGAAGTTCAATCTCTATAGAAACCAGAGATCTCACATGGGGGATAAGTATTCCTGTTTCAAGTGAGGGTAATGTTTTTCCTGTAAGTCCTATTTTTTATATATACCAGAGACCTAACACGGGAAAAGCCATATGTCTGTCCTGAGTGTGGAAAATACTTTTCAGTGAAGCTTAGTCTTCAGACACATAAGAGATTTTACACGGAGGAGAAGTTGCATACCTGTCCAGAGTGCGGGAAATGTTTTTCACAGAAGTCCAGCCTGCATATATATCAGAGACCTCACATGAGGAAGATGCTATATCCCTGTTCTAAGTGCGGGAAATGTTTTCTCAGATAAGTCTAGACTTTACATATATCAGAGATCTTACACAGGTGAAAAGCCATATGTTTATCCTGAGTGCGGGAAATACTTTTCAGTGAAGCCCAGTCTTCACACACATCAGAGATCTTACACGGAGGAGAAGTTGTATACCTGTTCGGAGTGCGGGAAATGTTGTTCAGAGGAGCCCTTTTCTTCATATATGACAGAGATCTCATACGGGGGAAAAGCCGTATTAGGGACAAGAGGGTGAGTGAGAGGGGCAAAAGTACTGAGATTAATATATGGCATGGGAACTGAACTGTATGTATTGAACTATATGTTGAAACTGAGGAGGAGTTCACCCAGGAAGTCCTAGAGGAAAATCAGGAGGAGGACAATGTAAAACAGATAAAGATCTAGAAGAAGAGGATCCGGGTAGATGAGTCCGGGAGTGGGGTGAAAGAAAAAGGAAGAAAAGAACTGAGAGGGGGATACCCATGGAAGACAACAAATTTTGATATCAAATCAAAAATAGAGACCCCCCCCCCCCCAAAACCAGAACTGTGGAAAATTTAAATAGTCCCTGACAGCATGAAAAACAAAGTATCAAAGTATCAAACAAAGCTTCCCAAACAGGGTCAATTAAAAAATATATACCCTCACAGGAGAAAACAGACTCCAGAGAGACAACAGGGAATAAGTGTAAGAGGTGAGAGGGAAAACAACGGGGAATGTTCCAGACTATCCCTGGGAATAGCTAACAGTAGTTAACATATGGAAGAAGAAATGGATATGGATAAAGTAGAAGAACAAGAGGAGAGCTCACAGATGCCTACCAAAGCAGAAATAACAGAAATGTTTAAAGGACTTGAAAGATCCCTAAAACAGGAACTGGCGAAATTGCACAAAGACCTGGGGAAAATATTAAGGGTGGAGGAGACAGAAGAAAAACTAGATGAACATGCCCAAATTATACAGAAATTAGAAAAGCGGGCGATGGAAATGAGAAAAGAACAAAGAAATATGTTATATAAATTGGAAGACCAGGAGAATAGGGATAGGATATGCAATCTAAGGATACAAGGCTTTCCAGAGATCTCCCAAGGAGAAGATAAGATGGGAATAATAACGAGAATGTTGAATACTATAATGGAAAGAACTATAACAGAGCCTCTCAAAATGGAGGGAGTATACAGAATAGGAAAATACATACAAGAAGATAGAAAGGAAAAGCCAAGAGATGTATAATTTTCAGGAAAAGAAGAGCTTTGGAAGAAGATAAAAGGAAGAGCAATAATAAAATATGGAGAAATAAATATACAGATCTTTGCTGATTTAGCAGCGGAAACATTAATAAGGAGAACTTTGAAACCATTATTGGAACAGATGAGAAAACAAAATGTTCGATATAGCTGGGGGTTTCCAGCGTGTTTGATCGGATGGAGAAATGGACGTTCAGCAAGACTGAGATTCCCTGAAGATCTGAGAGACTTGATATATAGAAAATAAATATCCCTGGTTGGGAGGAAGAAGAAGGAGAAATGTGGGCTATGGAAAAAGAGGGGAGACAGGTAGCTCTAAGGAGAAATAGAGAGTAGGAATAGTAAAGAGGAATAAGATGGGGGGGGTTCTCTCTTTTTTTTTCTCTCTCTCCCCTCCATTTCTGCCTCTCTCTTATGATCTTTGAAGTGTACTAGAGTATGGCAGGACATGGAGGATGAGACACGCTTATTGGGGAAAAGTTCATGGTCAGAGCTTCACCTTAAAAGCTGCATCAAAGGTGGGGTTAGGTCCACAAATGATTCACAGGCAAAATGTAAGCCTAAAGGGAGATGGGGGGAGGGGGGGAAGGGATAGGTAGTTTAAGACTCTGCAAAAAAAAAAAACATCAGCTTGGAGAAATCCTAGAGATCAAAGGGGAAAAAAAATTAAAGAAAAGAGGCAGAGAGAAGAGATGGGGACGATAGAGCTGTGGAGAGGAGAAGAATGGAAGAGATTAATTTTGTGACTTATAATGTTAAAGGGTTAAATAGCCCTGGAAAGAGATTTGGGATTTTTAAAGAAATTCAACATAGATCTTCTTCAGTGTTTTTTTTTTTACAGGAGACACATTTGGCGCAAGAATCAAATGTGAATTTAAATTCAAGATATTATCCAATGTGGTTTTATGCAGATTCCCCAATTAAACATGTCAAGGGAGTGGCAATAGGTTTTACGAAAAATATAAGGTTTAATCTGGAAGACAGATTGGTAGATCCGGAAGGAAGATTTCTGTTTCTGAAGGGAAAATTACAGGAAATGGACTGTACATTAGCAAATATTTATTGCCCTGAGGAAGTTAATGGATTTCAAAAAAGGCAATTTAATTGTGGCAGGTGATTTCAATCTTTGCATGGATCCCCAGATGGATATGACATCCCCTGTGCAGAGAGATGGTAGTAGATCTCTGAAATCCTTGAAAAAACAGATATACCAATGTCAACTTGTAGATATATGGAGAATTAAGCACATGAAGGACAGAGACTATACGTTTTATTCTCATGCACATGAGATGTATTCAAGACTGGATTATATATTGCTGGACCATCGACTTATTGGGGTTTATTTACTAAAGCCGGAGAGTCCAAAATCAGACTCCCTTCTGAATAGAAACCAATCAGCTTCTAACCTCAGCTTGTTCAATGAAGCTTTGGCAATGAAACCTGGAAGCCGATTGGTTTCTTTGCAGAAGGGAGTCTGATTTTGAACTCTCCAGCTTTAGTAAATAAACCCCATTGAGTCTGTGGTCAAAGTAAAAAATAGAAGTGATGTCAATATCGGACCATGCCCCTGTCAAAATGCAATTATTTTGAGGAAATGAGCAGATCGGGGGAAAATTATGGAGGTTAAATAAGACACTTCTCCAGGATTCAGAGTTGGATCAAAGAATTAGAAAAAAAAAAGAGCACTTTTTTGAAGAAAAGGATTCTGGGGAAGTGTCTGTAGCAACAGTGTGGGAGGCTCATAAGGCCTATATTAGAGGAATCTTGATAGCGATTGGAGCAAGAAAGAAGAGAAAAAATAAACATGCTTCTTAGTGAACTCTGTGAGTTAGAGCAGATACATAAACATAAAGTAACAAAAGAGATTATGCAGAGGGTAATAAATAAAAGAGAAGAATGAAATAAACTTCTGGAAGAAGAGAAGAATGTTCAATAAAATGATGTGAGAGATACAGATGGGGAGATAGGCCAGGAAAGTAATGAGGGCTAAGAGAACAAAAAAAAAATCTAGGAACTATATAGAGAAAATAAGAAACCACAAAGGAGAATGAATGTATTCAACTAAAGATATAGCTAAAGTGTTTAAAGAATATTATAATAAGCTATGTAATATTATCCCCCACAGCTCCAAAAGTAAAGATGAGGTAGGAAAAATTGAAAAAAGACAGACATACTTAAAGTATCCCTTGAATCAGCAATAATGCAGGAGGAAATACACTTAGCATTAAAGAGCAGTATAGTTCAGAAAAGTCCAGGACCTGATGGATACACAGTGAGATATTATAAAAAATTATTAGTACCTAAAATGAGGATATATATGAATGCACTGGGAGGAGAGATGGAAATGAGGAGGGAATCCCTACAAGCCCATGTAGTTCTCATATATAAGGAAGGTAAAGATGATACTCACTGTTTAAGTTACAGACCGATTTCCTTATTAAACACAGATACCAAACTATATGCAAAAGTTCTGGCAAACAGGTTGAAAGACCTAATGTCGGAATGGATACACATAGACCAAGTAGGCTTTGTCCCAGGGAGAGAGGGTACAGATAACGGACTGAGATCTCTGTTTCTCATACAAAAAAGTAGGAAAGAGAAAATCCCTGCGGTGGTACTCTCTATTGATTGGGGATATATGTTGGATACATTGGAAGTATTGGGGATGGGACCTAGAATGAGAGAGTGGATAAAGAAATTATATAGTCAAGAAATCATGGTTAATGGGAAATTGTCAGAGTATTTTGGGATGCAGAACGGAACTAGACAGGGATGCTCTCTGTCTCCATTGCTATATGTTTTATCATTGGAATCTCTTTTGGCTACAATAAGGAATAATATAGATATAAAAGGAATTTGGATAGGAGATACGGAGCATAAGGTGGCAGCTTATGCAGATGACATGCTATTCTATGTGGGAAACCCAAGGATAACATTGCCAAATTTAATGAAATCACTGAAAGAATATGGGGAGGTGTCAAATTTAAAAATTAACCCAACAAAAACAGAAATTTTAAACATAAATCTTCCAAAAAGTTTTTACGAGAATGGATGAGTGGCGTTATTTTGAATTGAAACACTTTATAGGAAAGCTTCCAAAGCCTTTAAGAATACGAGAGGATTGGAATCCTTTTAAGCACTTATTAGGTACACGGGGAGATGGGAAACACGGAACCTCTAAAATATATAAGATTCTCTATGAAATAAACGCAGATATAAGTCCTCTATATATAGAAAAATGGGAAAGAGAAATAGGGGTAACAATAGATGCGGAAAAACAGAGGAAAATGTATAGAATAATCCATGGAAATATAAATATGCAGGAGGTAGAAATTAATTATAAGTGTTTGGCAAGATAGTATATCACACCGAGTGTGGCACACAGATTGAGTGGAGATAATTCATCTTTATGTTGGCGTGGATGTGGAGGTAGAGGCACAATGTATCACATATGGTGGGAGTGTTCTAAAATACAAGAGTATTGGGGGAAAATAGTAAGCTTGACTCAGAAAATTACAGAGGTTGATATTCTAGTAGACCCAGAAATTTGCCTTTTTCATAGTACTAAGCTTTCAGTTAAAAATACAAAAGAATCTGGTTTATTGCACTATTTGAATGCAGCAAAGGGACTGATACCCAAGTATTGGAGTAGACAGGAGGTGCCGAAAATAAAAGACTGGGTGGATAGGGTGGATCAAATTGGAGGAACTTTATCGTTTGAATGAAGATAAGATGGAGAGTCACCATACAAGATGGAACAAATGGGAGGAATTCAAAAAGTCAAAGCTAGCCTTAGAGGTTATGGGGGATTAACATAGAATAATATGGAAACATATTTTGTTCTTTTATAGGGATTACGATCTCCAGAAATAAACAGGAAAATGCAGAGCAGAAGGGGTTAGGGATTGGATGGGGGGGATGGGTGGTATATAGGTTGGGGGAGGGGTGAAATGATAAATGTTTTGATAATATGCTAAGGTTTTAATGAGTATGTTTGTATAACTTGTTT